GATGACCCACCCAGCCCTGTCTCCTCCTCTGCTTCATCAAATTAATATAGTTTCCATGTATCCTGTAAATAGAAAATTATGGGGGCCCCGTGTGCATTCAGCTGACTACATTAAAGGTATGTGCTCAGTCACACTATATCCATTCCTCATTATTTATTACTTTTACTGTACTGTATTTCATTGTAATTTTTTTTTCTTTATCTATGTCGGACTTACGACCTGGATTTGGGTCCCTAATCCCGTCATAAGTCGGGGAGAGACTGTACAAATGTTAGATGTAATTTAAGGAGATCATGAAAATAAGCAAATATTTTATCTTTTGTGCAAAATATATGAAGATTACATTCAAAATATTCCCTGGCCTGCAAGGAATCCAGAAATATCAATTATATTATCCTAACTTTAGTCTGAGGTATTATTTATTACTAAGAATGTAAATATACTGTTTTCTCCCAAGCATTTCTCTGGTAGGGAGGGAAGGTGGGGGGGGTAGGGAGGGAGGGAGGGACCCAGCGATTGTGGGAAGAGGGGGGGGAGGTGGTGTATTTTGATTGACAGATAGTGTCTGGGTGAATAATAATTTGTTTATTTACTTTAGATATTTGTTTTAGCTCATAAAATTCATACAAATTACCCAACCAAAATATAATTTACATTGCTGGAATTCTTATATGATCTTGATTATTTTAAATATAAACATCATGGAATTTGCATTAGACATACAAATTTTAGATCTAATTTAAGAATTTTGATTACAAAGCCAAAATTTTATCTTTTGTGCAAAATATATGATGTGTATATTAAAAATATTCCTGGCCTTGCAAGGAATCCAGCAATGTCAATTATATTATCCTAACTTTAGTCTGAGGTATTATTTATTACTATACCTTAAAATCTAGTGTTTTCACCCAAACATTTCTCAGATAGGGAAGAGCCAGCGAGCATGGGAAGAGGGGGGGAGGTGGAGTCCATTATTTGAATGGACATTAACCTGGCGACTGTATTTCTCTTTAATATTAATTGTGTGTGCATACCATCATAAAATTAAGATGTTATTTTTACTACAACTAGGTATTATGTCGGTATTGTGCCGGAAAAAGTGGAGTTTGGGAGTCGGCCCAGTCTCTATTTCAATTAATCCCATATGTTCTGTTATTCCATTTATGCGTTTCTCGTTTTACGCGCTAGTCCGCAGGTTCAATTGACCGCGTAAATCGGGGTATTACTGTACTGACTTTGGGACTCAAAAATACATAACTTGACCACATTTTGGTACGACTGAGGCGGTCGTAAGTCAGGGACTACCTGTACCAGCATCTCGATTGGATAGTACCCATTGATGGTGTAATCACAACTCATAATAACAAATGTAATACTGGCAGCAATATTTATGGTTTCCATACTCAACCTGGGACAATTATATTTTTGCTAATTATCCCCAATCATGTACAACACTACTTGGCACATATAACCGAGATTAGTACACCAAGCAAGACTTGGTTACACCAGGCTGACACCTCTGGCTCTGGTGTTTACTACACAAACAGCTGAAGCTTGTTCACTATTAGCGCCGGGATAGTCTCGGTGCAGTGTGTCTTAGCATTGTTTTCCCTGGGTGCACTTATACTCAGATTCTAATCTCGCCATATTAAAGACATCCTTCAGTGGACATCTTGGTTGTAGGCGGCTACCAATCCTCGGTAGTGACGACAACACGGACAGGGCCTGGAGATACGATGAAGGAGCGTGACAAGAGTGTTTTAAAAGATTAAACTCAATTACAAACAATCGTACGTCTGGCAACGACACAGACAATATTTATGTTACGTTAATTCTTATTTGTCACATGAGAATTTCACTATGTTAAAACATGAACACTGATATTCACAAACTTCAACTGAGTTAAACTGACTTAATATGGCGGGCGCAAGACACTAGTTCACATACCAGGAGATACGATGAGGGAGCGTGACAAGTGTCGCGCTTCCTCGTCCACGTGTTTATATACTGGCTAACTGGCAACTCAGGCATGCCAAAAAAGGCAATTCGTGCATTGACATACACTTCATTTAAATCAGTTGCTGTACATTTGGCTATGAAAATCAGTGTCATGGGACAGATGATATTTTTACATCTATTGTTTCAATCTAATGAGAGGCTGAGCTTGCCAGGCAATATTGAAATGGATGTCAAATGCACAAGTTAATAACGTCTTTCTTACGACGTCATCAAAAATACAGACAGGGCCCACTGGTATTTTGCCGTTAGATCTTGGAGATAAGAAGACTGACATATTCTTTTCAGGAGATTAATTACTTTCTAAAATATCCAACTGCCAATAATTTCAATACAAACATCAGATTCTCTGATGATTGGGAATCAAAATGATCTAACTTCAGTATCAGTTTGTCACTCAGAGCGTCCCTACGGGCAATATTAAGACTTCGTCATTTCTATTGGCAGACTCTATTCAAACTGATTTGACAATTTTACTCACAGTAAATACAGTTGAAGCTTTCAACATCGCTCACAAGGGATCTTGAGAGTTTCATCTGTAATCAGACATATCTAATTTGACACAATACAATTGAGTTCTCTCTCAATTTCAAATTTCTGAACACAATATAAGGTATTAAGAAATATTAGTCTATGAGGTACATGGTTGAGAGAAAACGGAGGCTTCAGGCATCCTGAAGCAAAAAGAAAATGGACGCCTCAAAATAACAAAGTTACAGCTACATGTTTTAGGGGCTATTGAGTGCAATATGAATCGTTGATTTTACTTTAACTAACATGTATGACGTTGATCAGTACACCATGTGTACTGAAGCGATTGACAAAATTTTTGTTCCGCAGCCAAATGGCAATTCTGTACTGTAGTTTTTTTTTGTGGTATTATTTTTATTTATTCCTCACAATTATTGGTATACAATATATAATTTTATCTTATTTCTCATAGGAGTTGGTAACTGAAGAGAATTCTATTTAAGAGGTAGTAACACAGTTCATAGCATTAGCTGTTGTGATGGTGGTCACAGCCAAAACTCATCGGTGTTGCCTTGCTTCAAATTATCTCAAGGATTATATCTAGTATATCTAGTATTTCTCAATCCTTCATTTTTCTGTACAGGTAGACCTTTATATGCGATGGGGTTAGGTTCCTGAAAACCCAATTGCAGGTTGAAATATCGTAAATCAGGTTCATTATAACATGGGGTTCAATGGGATAGGTTCTTGGCCAGTCGAACACCCTAATGTATCACTGAAAAATAAAAATCCTAGAATACTACTAGCACAACAACACAATTAAACAACACTCACCAGATAAGAAAAAGTTTGGTCGTCATTACATGTCCTCTTTGAGACTAAGAGGACTCTTGAAGGTGAAGTGGAGACATCACTCAGACTCCCGCACAGCCTCTTAGGAGTCTCATGCTGCTTCACAATGTCAAGCTTCACCTCAAGAGTTACTGTTTTCCTGGATGCCTTGGCCTTCCCATACATTTTCAAAATTACACTGCTCACTTTAGTCACAAAAACAGAGGGACAGCACTTCACAGTCACTAAAGTAGAGAAAACACTTCAGTCACTGAAACTGAGTACAGTATAGTCTCGGTTTACGCGGTCAATTAAGCCCGTGGAGGTCCGCGTAAAACAAGGAATGCGTAAACGAAATAACAGAACATATGGGATTAATTGAAATAAAGACTGGGCCGACCCCCAGACTACCCTATTTCCGACACAATACATATATTGTAGTAAAAATAACATCTTAATTTTATGATGGTATGCACACACAATTAATATTTAAGAGAAATATCAATAATATTAGGTTTTTTAACACTTACATTAGTAGAAGAAATGGCTGGGCACACGGGGATGGGAGGTTGGTTCCGAGGAAGAGGGCAGATTATTGGCCCTCACCTGTATCACTTGTATCACTATCCACCACAGAGGCTTGCAGGGCCTCTTTGTCAAACCCCTCAAGGTCCATATCCTCACTATCACTGACTTAGGCTGGCTGTGGTGGGTGGCGGGTGAAGAACTCGGTAATGTTTGTTGACTGGGCGACCTAGTGCGCACCCTGCCTGCGCCACTTCCCCCGTAAATGATGGAATGTACAGCATAACTAATAATTGCTGGTCTGGCCAGGTGCCGCATAAATGACCAACCGCGTCAAGGAAATCCGCGTAAATCGAGACTATACTGTGCATGTACTGTCCCTGTACGTATAGTACAGTACACTGTGAAACTTTGTAATTTCCTGTAATTGTAAGGGAAAAAAAAATAAAAAAAATAATTATACCAGTTGCAGCTGCTCACCTCGTGTTCACAACAACAGAGGCAAAGCACTTTTCAGTCACAAAAAAAAAAAAAAACACTTCACAGTCACCAAAACAGAGTATATGAACTCTAGTGATGTCCTCTCACTGTAAGGTAAAAAAAAAAAATGTGCAAAAAAAAAAGGAAAAAAAAAGATGACCAATAAGCATTGAACTCCATTTCTTATACACACGTAACTAAGAAGACACAATGGCTGGAATGTAGTTCACCAGATGGCCACGAGGCAGTGTTCAGGTAAATGACACTTCAGCTGACTAATGAATAGTGATGCGTTCCATATGCCGACTTGGTGAGATGACGAATATCGTCAATGTGAATTCGTTTACATCGCAAATAGAGGAGTGGTCTCAATATATCGGCATCGTTAACGCGATATATCGTAGACTGGGATATTGTAAATAGAGGTTTACCTGTATTGTTCTGATGCGGGACCATGTGATCCCAGCCATGTCACTCCACAACAATAACAATGATCCACAAGATACCATGATATTTTTTCAAGTTTTTAAATAATTTTTCCAAGATTCATGTCATTATTAGGACGTGTTGTTACTCAATGATTATTGAGTTTGAAGAAGACCTTTTGATAAAGATGAAAAAAACTGTTACAAACTTCTTCATATTGGAAAAATGCTGCAGAGGATAATGATATACTGTTCAAGTTTTCATTTAAATACTGTATTATTAGTATATGGCTTGCTTGACCTTGGCAATAATTTCAGGCATGCGTGAAGCATTAAGGAGAAGTACTCGTCGATACGGTGTGTACTGGGCATCATCTTCATCCCAGTCTCCTGACATACCAGTGTCCCCCTTCACACAATACTCAAAACTGGCAATGCTTTCCTAAAAAAACAAGATAAAATACACAGTAAGCTGACTAGGACATGCTACCCTTTCTGAGGAAGACATAATTCACAAATCAACATTCAAGTTCAACAAATTACCATTCTGTAATTCACAAATATAAACTCTTACCTCAGCAATGACCTCTTCCTCAGGGTTACTCCACATTTCAGCCTCAATAGTCTTTTTCTTTTTCCTTTTCTCCGTCTTGTAAACTTTACAAATCATCAACAGGTAAGTAAAGTCATAAGGCATATCTTTTGCCTTGGCTTCGTCTATCTCCTTTCTGATAGCAATATAAAGAAAAGAAATGACAATGGTGAAAATTTGAAATAATTTGAGTTCTCTCTTTTTCACTCATTATGAACTCCTTACAAAACTGGTCCATATATGTTTTAACTACTGATCCACAGCTACATAAAAGATGGAAGCTTTATGCATACTTTTTCTGAAACATATCTGACTATGAGCTTATTCCCAAGTAAAAAGAAATAATTAATCTAGCTATTAAACTTATTTCACTGCCAGACACACAAGGAAACAATACTCATTCATATATCCCAATACAGAAAAAGTAAGGCCATCTTTGTGATCTTACTATGGTTGAACTTAAAGTATCTTTTCTTGGATACATTTGTATTAAAACCTCCAGAACAGTTTGTCTCTCTTTCCACCTTATTATAAGTCCATTAAAAGCTTAATTCTCTTTAATCAAAGTTTGGACTGGATAGTGGAGTATGTGATATACGAATGACAGCGAGACAGATTAAATGAAATCTTTAGAAACACTATTAAAGGGCAGTTATTCGGAAAAGAAGATACTACAAGGTCAGCTGATGTGAAAAGTAAAGTGGACAGTTTACCCACGCAGTCCCACATATTTAATATTAATAATACAAGGTCTGTACTCCCAAACCCCTCAAAATGTCTCTGACAATGCCAATGGAGAGAGCACCAGCTGTAAGAGGAAGTGTATCATGGTCAAACTACTTAAGAAACTTTATACATTGGTCCCTTTGTTAACGAACACAATTCGTTCCACAGTCGTTCGTTAACCGAAAATTTCGCTAACCGAATCCATTGTTTCAATGGGATATTGGGTAATTGGTTCCAGCTCACAGAAAAGTACATACACTTTGAGGTGTATATGTAGAAGGTTCCTGGTTGATGATGATGATGGAAATTAGAAGTGGGGGTGGAGGAGAAGGGAGACGAGAAGGAAGTGGGGATGGAGGAGAAATCACCTTTCAGGGGAGCCATGCTTGATGCAGTAAACTCAACAATACAATTTTAAGTTCACTAGGTGTAATTCAAGATTATTTTATTTAAATCAACACTGCACTGTGCTATATATTATCAATATGTAAACTAAATTTCAGAATGACCAATAATTTTAATGTAAAAATGCAAAAATATTCAAGACACCAACAAAATCGATGTTCACTCCACTGTAAACATAGCCAAACTGACGCCTGGTGGGTGAATCAAGCGGCTGATGGGCGCACAAAGAACTAGTTCCCTGCTAATAATTTTAATATAAAAAATGCAAAAATATTAAAGAGCACAACTTTCATGATATTTACTCCACTGGCAAAGAATGTAAACATAGAACAGATTACTGAATTGGCAGACTAGCCCATCAGCTGATAAGCTGATGCTCACAACATAAGGTGTTTGTTGTAAGGATTTCATTAATCGAAGTTTTGTTCATTAACCAAATTGAAGATCCTTATGGGAGATAATTCGTTAACCGAAATTTCGTTAATCGAACCGTTCGTTAACCGAGGGACCACTGTATACTGTACTGTATGAGGTTGAACAAAGGCCTCCATTATGTCTGAATAAAACATACTCAGCTACTACTGTATCTAGGATATTAAATTTGTGAGCAGAAGGGAAAGCTACATTTCTGATTACAGTACAGTATACTGTTTTGATAAAAGAGTAATATCGATTGCTTTCTGCAATACTGCATACTGTACAGCATAGGCAACCTAAAAATTATTCTCTTGAGAAACCAAGACTTAGAAATCAACACCACCCATTTACTGGATAACAGAATTTGAACTATTTAAGTGAGAAAAATAGAATTAAAGACCGTTAGATTTGTGACCTAAAAATGCGGTACATATTAAAAATACCTTTCTGAAGAGCAAAGAAATTGAAAAATCAGTGAAGCAACGATGATCTGTTTGTAACATTAATTTAACCATTTTCTTATTTATTAACTATTTCAACCCTTTTCCCACATACCAGGTAATACAGAGTGGCCAGAGAATGTCAAAACAATCTTTAGAACAACTTTCACTGTAAATGAGTTGTTTTGCAAAATTAATATACAGCACTTTCAGCATTTTTTTTTATCTGTATAAGCACTATGCATACAAAACAAAATTATATTTAAGGGCAGTTCTGAAGGTTCACATTGATTATTTATTGGAAAACTTACCTTAAACTCTCAAATACTGGGAGAGAAAACTGTGCAGGAAGGTTTATTAACCGTTCAGACACAAGGAGTCCCACATGCTTGCTTTCATTGCCTAATAAGTCACGCAGCAGCTGGTTAGTGGAGTCACTCGCATGGCTTGAACATTTCTCAACTAAAGCTGTTCTCAGCCCTGCTATGCATTTTTCATCCTGTAAATTAAATTATTCAAATCAAAATACCACTTGCTGTGCATAATGAGATGTACTGTACCTTGTATTATTCACAAATTTCAGGACAAAAGACACAATTTACCCTTAAGCCCTGGGTTAGCGTGCTGCTGGCAGTATCCCCCTCGCGGGGATAAATCGAGAAAAAATCAAATTTTCAAAAATAATTAAAAATAACTAAATAAATAAATAAAGTGGCGGGAATAGGCGGACGTTCTGGAACGTCACCCAAGGCCTAAGGGTTAAATAGAAATGAGTTCTTATATACAGTAATATGAGACAGATGAAACCAGGTGGTAACTGACACCTTCAAGGAAGTACAGGTAGAGTTCTGGATATTCTTTATTGGCTTACTGACCTTTCTGGATGTGAGGTTGATTATGGTTGTCACACCAAACACCTGCTCAACATCCTCCTCACTGTCCATGGGCATCTCTTCATCATCATCTTCCTCTTCATCATCTCCACTCACTTGCTATAAATATTAAGAACAAATAAAAACATGCAGTGGTACATTCAATATACACATTTACCATCCCATACCACGAAAAAAATGTAAGAAAAATAAAAACTTACCATTGGTCATATTTCCAAAATAAATGAGAGTTCCATTTAAATATGCAGGTACAGTATTTCATGCTACAGCATTGCTATTATGATAATCCAGAAAGCAGTACAACTAAAGGATACTGTACTCACTTTAATGACAGAGCCCACATAATTCTGAGAAATAACTGTGTCTGCTATGCCAGATATATCAACCTCAAGGCCACGGAAATTTTGTTGGAGTAATCTCTTGATGCCGTGAAAGTCTCCATCACTGGCCTGGAAACCTTCAAAGTCGACTTGCACCTGAAAAATATCAGTGACTTGTAAGTACAGTACTGTGAAGCATAATACAGTAAGTATACAATATTACGCCCCAGCTTATTGATGTAGATGCATACCTGTGCCTGGAAAGTACCAAGTTTGCACTTGAATCGTTAAATATGGTGCACCGGAACTTGGTTCTGGTCGGTTAGTTCTGGCTGGAACCAGAAATTTTATTTCAATGCTTAACTCCCTTCACTACAAGGGATGCCACTTTTAATATTTTATTTGGCTAATGTGAGACAATTTTATTTAGCTCATAGGGGAACCCTTGTACAAGGGATTATTGGACTATCTCCACTAACCCCTTCACTACAGGGATGCCACTTTTAATATTTTATTTGGCTGACGCCAGATGATTTTATTCAGATCAGAAGGGAACCCATACACAAAGGGTAAATACACTATGCAATATAACTTACTTTTGGAGACTGGTTTTACCAAACATTAAAATATCCAGACATGGCTCCACCCAGCGAAGATATAAACAATGAAGAGGAAACGCAATGTGTGGCCTGCAAATCATCCAAAGGCATGGAATTCACCTTGAGATGTGATGACTGTAAGATATGGCTACATTACTCTTGCACTAAGCTGTCTCTCCTCCATGTGCAGTGCTTCTCAATGTCAAACCTTTAGTTCACATGTGCAGATTGTTGTGTCACAAAATGTTATGTGGAGTGGCTCAGGGAAGCAAAAGCAGCTATAGATAGACAGTCTGCCAGGCTGAAAGCTATAGTAAGAACTATGACTGATAGCGGCAACAAAGTAGCATCAACAGTCGTAAATAGTGTAGAGGCACATCGTCCCCAAACAGAGACGAGTAGCAGTACAGCTATCAGCCCTGATCTGGGTGACACTCCAGAAGACATAGACCTCTCACTAACACCAGGTCCTTCCAACCTACAAACACCATCACATACGTCCCAATAGGAAACACAGGGTAAAACACCCCTCACCATAACTAACACCAAGCTAGGACCTATAAGACACAACACAGACAACACAGGGACCACTCAGGGCCAGGAAGACACCCTTCAAAGCAACCAAGGGACAAACAAAGTTTCAGACCCCACCAGGACACCAACTTCAGGAACAACAAGGAATAAAAGACCAAAAATCTGTAAGTACTATAGGAAGAATAAATGCAGATATGGTAGAGTAGGGAAGTCTTCACTACCCAGCTGTTGCAGACTATGGAGCCCTACATCAAGGTGTATCACGACAACATCAACACTAGCCGTCAACAAAGCATTACCGAGTTCTTCCCCCGCAACCCACCACAGCTAGCCCAAGCCAGTGATAGTGAAAGAGACAGAGACAGTGATGGTGACTTTGAGGGATTTGTCAGGGAGGCCCTGACAAGTGTGGATGACAGTTATGGTGACTCACCTGAGGGCCAGTAGCCTGCCCTCTGCCTCGGAACCAGCCACCATCATTCCCGTACGCCGACCAATCTCTTCTACTAACATGAGTGTTAAACCTAACCTTGATTTTTCCTCACATAACCTTACACTGTTTGAGTTTAGCTAGAATGGACTCAGAACTTTGTGAGGGCCAAACCATAAACCATGGTGTTATTGCAGTGGTACAGTATTATTATCGTTTCGGTCATCCAACGATTTTTTGGATTTTAAGTTTTGGAATCAGTAGTTTAGACAATTCTAAGACACTTTTCTGCCATAGCATTTCTTCCACTCATGATTATATACTCTCATAGAAAATCTCAATGAATTGTTGGAAAATCGTCATATTTTTTCTAAGTTCTTATTCATGTTACCACCGTCTGATTCTAAAACCTAAAAGGCCGTGATTATTTTGCTGTGACCGGTAAGTTCCTACTTAGGCTATTTTACCATGAGTGTGCTCTGATTGGCTAATCGTGCATTCTGGAAAACAACGTGAGAACTATATTTGACAGTGACTCTGGCAGCATTTGGCATTTATTTCTCTGTGAGTTGATTGTTGTGTAGCTGTAAACATACCTAACCATATTTCTGTTGTGCATGGAAACTTATCATTATATAAAAGGCAAAATTATACAAGAACCTAATAGAATCTGACCTAACCAACCAAAGAAACCTACCTAACCTTACCTAACTTCCTACATTAGCCCACAAGTGGTCACAGTTCAAGGTTAAAGAAGCCACAAGTCTGTGAGGGCAAACTTTTTCGGAGTGAGAATTGTGAACTCTTGGAACAATATTCCAGAGAGCGTTGTGACGGCACCGAGTGCGAGCAGGTTCCGATATATTCAGGACCCAGTGCATGTCTAGTACTTGGCAACAGTGTGTAACAGAGACGTGACCGACTGCCCAAGAGGAAGTGGGGGTAAATGTTCACTTAAGTGCTGCAAGCGATTTCACCAACAAAAAAAAATTTTCCAGCATGAATTTTGCTCCTTTTTTTTATTAGAGTTTGTTTTTTCTGGAGGAATTTTTTTTCCTAACCTAACCTAACATTACCTAACCCCTTAGTGGGGGGCTTCACCCCTTCCACCCTGAGTGGTTATATAATGTCATCAGTATTTAACTTATCCTTATTTAATCTAAACGCTATTTTTCAGAGTTGGAGAGGGGGGGGGGTCACATTCGTATAAATCACTCCAAATACCATGGGATAAAAATTTATGGTCGAACAGTAAGTAGTTGGGACTGAAACTGTAAATAAACCTAAAAAAGTGATCACCCTATAACAATTTACTTGCACAATGACAACACTAAACCCAGTCAATTTTCCACCAAGTTATAAGATTACATACACTTTGTCCTAACATCTCATCCTGTTCTATCTCTTCATCACTATCTTCCGGGACATATTTCTCCTCAGGATAGACAGCACGAGGCTTCTTCAATGGGCCAGACATGTTTGTGTACACACGATCACTGGTTCACCAGGTGTACGATGATTACCTCATCTGTACGGTAACATTACATTTATGCTTTTCAAATGTTCATTATGATCTTTCAGTTTACTCCACTTCTTTACTAAATCCCCTAGTTGGCAACATATCTCACTCTAATATTAAAATAATATGGATTTGGTTGATAAACTCAATAACTTACACATTAATTATGATTTTAAACTGGTCAGTTTCGATATAACATTGTAGTAGATACTGTAGTGGATTCCTCCTTTCCTTCAAGCACCGGAACTTCTCGAATTCCCCAGCCTACGCCTCCAGCGCAGCCCACGAAGCGGGGGTCAACTATCTACCCACGCCTACCCCCGCCTTATAAGGCCTGACACCGCTGTGACCAGGGTCTTTCTACACAGTGCCACCAGCAAGCAACACCTCCTCCGCGTCGTTCCCGCTAGCGACTTTGGCGTCCCTCAAGCCAAGTGTCACTCCTCTGGGCACCCTCACCACCCAGCTCTCTCTACTCAACGCTTATTACCATGCTACCTACCCACGCAACTCTGCCAACCTCCAGCCTCCCGCTGCGCCCGGAGAGGAAGGGGAGTATTGTAGTGGATTCCTCTCCTACAAGCGCCGTTTGTCGCTGAGTAGCTAAACCTTCTCGAATTCCCCAGCCTACGCCTCCAGCGCCGCCCACGGAGCGGGGGTCAACTATCAACCCACGCCTACCCCCGCCTTATAAGGCCTGACACCGCTGTGACCACTCTCTTTCTACTCACTGCCACCAGCAAGCAACACCTCCTCCTCCGCGCCAGCCTGGCGGCTCCCGCTCCCGCCGGCGACCTAGGCGTCCCTCAAGCCGCATGCCCTCACTCTGGGCACCCTCACCAGTCACCACCCAGCTCTCTCTACTCAACGCTTATTACTATGCTACCTACCCAGCAACAAGCTGCATTGTACATCCAATACAATATGTATACAGTGAGCACATTGTGAGTTTCCTTTCTCCATCCCTTCCTGAGTGTGAACCAATATCTCATAACCCCACAAATGGTGACCCCCGGAGATTTGCACTCACACAGGATGAAGGAGAAACTGATCACTCTCCCAGTCTTCAAGCAACATGGAAGACTGGCTTACCCACGCAGAAGCAGCTCTCATCGGCTCTACAGCTACTGTCTCTACACCGCAGGTTAGACACCCTAGAGCAGCTCTGCTACTCTAAGCAGACAGCCACTCCTCTTCCTGCCCCAAGCACCACGTCCTACCGACCGCAACACACCCGTCCTGCCTCAGACGCCGCCCCGGCCCAGCAGTACCCCCTGCCGCTCCTTCTGACACGGCCCCTGCTCCTGACGCAGACCCACACCACCCCTCTTTTCTCCCTCAGGTACCCTCTGCTACGGTCCTGCACCCACCCTGCTGCTATCGTGGACCCTGCTGCTGTCATGCACCCTGCTTCTGTCATGGACACACTTCCTGATGCAGCCCCTGCTCCTGACCTAGGCCCACACACCCCAGCAGGCGCATCTGAGGACTCTGTACCTGTGGCGAGGGAAGCACAACATTCATCGCCTCCACAACCCTCCTTCTCCCTCTTTTCTCCCACAGATCTCCTGTATCTAGACAGAGTTGCCCCCCCCACTAGCGGCTGGCTCATCCACGCCCTCGCCGTTATGTCCCACATGTGGCATGCACCGCCCGTTCTGCCTCACATGTGGCACACAACTCTGCCAACTTCCAGCCGCGGCCGGAGGGGAAGGGGAGTATTGTAGTGGATTCCTCCCCTACAAGCACCGAACCTTCTCAAATCCCCCAGCCTACGCCTCCAGCGCCGCCCACGGAGCGGAGATCAACTATCTACCCACGCCTACCCCAGCCTTATAAGGCCTGACACCGCTGTGACTACCCTCTTTCTACACAGTGCCACCAGCAAGCAACACCCCCTCCTCCGCACCAGCCTGGCGGCTCCCGCTCCCGCCAGCGACTTTGGCGTCCCTCAAGCCGCGTGTCCCTCCTCTGGGCACCCTCACCACCCAGCTCTCTCTACTCAATGCTTATTACCATGCTACCTACCCAGCAACAAGCTGCATTGTACATCCAATACAATATGTATACAGTGAGCACATTGTGAGTTTCCTTTCTCCATCCCATCCTGAGTGTGAACCAATATCTCATAACCCCACACCACCTCCTCTGAGCATCCTCACGAACCAACTCTCTCTAGTCCACGCTTGTAACCACGCTGCCACTCCCTAGCACCAAGCTGCATTGTACATCCAATACAATATATATACAGAGAGAGCATTGTGAGTTTCCTACAGTAGTAGTAGTATTAGTATTAATATATCTCCGCCCCCAGGCGCTGATGTGAGCCATTGACCTGTGCCCTGGTGGGCTAATCCCATAAAATATGTATTAGGTATATTTTGTAGACATGCGTAATTATTAGATGTGCGACAATTTTATAAAAGTACGATTTTCTGATGGCTGGGTACGATGCTTGAGGCTGGTGAGGAGCTCAGTTTATACTTTACAGCTGGCCGCCTCTGTTGGCTCAAGTGATCAGCTGACGGCAGACCTCACAACCATGGCCGGCATCCTCAGAAAATTCGCTTTAGCTGTATGTATTACTGATTGTTTGATCTATAGATTATAGTAATTTGAGTTACCAGGCACTTTGTTACTCGAAACAGATGACCTTATATGTTGTGTTTTGTATTGTAATACAGCTGAAGGAACTTAGATTTGTAGGTTAAGGTGCATGTTAATATCTTCATCCAAGTTGATAATTTTGCCATTATTTTGGTGGAGGGAATGTCCGAGAACAACAGTTGTTGTTCAATTGTTCGATTTCGTTCATTGGTTAAGATAAGTATTAGTTACACCAATGAAATCACAATCAAAAATAGGGTTTCCTAGTGTATTTTGGGTATTATCATTTCGGTCATCCAGCGAATTTTAGGTTAGGTTAGGTTAGGTTAGGTTGCATTTGAGAAGTAGTGCTGTGACTGATTTTTACTGGTTAGGTTAGGTTGAAATTATGTTTGGTTAATACAGTATTCTTCCATTGGCTGTCCGCAGGTTTCCAGTTTTCAATATTACAGACACAAAGACTAAAGAACCAAATATGCGACTTCATATCATTTCTGGTGCAAATCACTATTCACGGAGTATCTCGCAAAGGTATTTTTGCGTTTACACACAGCACATTCCTACCACTAATCTATTATCATATTCTAATAAGACTTCTAATTATAAGATAATTTTCATCTATTACATTACCGGCGGAAATGTATAATAACGGAGATAGCATATCCAAAATTTTCTCTATTTTCTTTCATTAATTTTCTGCCATTATCGCCTGCCTCATCTCCCACACTGCGTGTCTCCTTCATAAATCATCACGCGCATGCGTTCCCGTACACGTCACACGGCCAATCAAAAGCGTTTTTGTTTTTTTAACCAATTAAAATGATTTTGGGTTTAATTCGCGGAATATTTGGCCCAATCAAATTCGAGTTTCTCTCAAATTTTGAAATTCAAGTTCAGTTCCGACCATGGAAGTCTGCGATGGGTGTCACTTCAATTATATGGAACTGATAGCGAGTTTTTGGGAAAAAACGAAGAAACTATAGCATCTTTTCGATTGCATAGTGTTCTTCCAACCTCAGTAAAGTGTGCTAAGAGCAAGACTGAATGTAAATATCGCACAGACCAACATATGTGGCGCTTGTAAGAATCTCAGAATCCAGCGACGAACAAGAACCAGGCCAATAAGGTAAGAAATAGGTGATTCCATCAAATGGTGAAGAGTCACTTAGGTTAGGTTTGGTTTTTGTTTTTGTTTTTCTAGTGTTTTTTTTGGTGTATTTTGCCATGTTTTTTTTTTTTTTGAAAACGTCCAACAAAAAAAATTCGATAAAAAAACCCGGCTAATTTCCGCCAGAAATGAAGGTCATATTCAGTCTAAACACACACAAATACACTAGAAAAATATATTTTTGACTTTCTAACAGAGTGCGGTGTGACAGTGCAAATTTACCCTCACGAATTTCCAGGCGTAAATTTCTGTACCCTCCATGTTGCCAGTCACTTCTCTCTTCCTCCTTGTGACATGACAACCAATGACCTTAAAGTATTGTGTCATGTGACTTGGCTGGCCAATCATTTTGAATCAACCATTTTGAAGGCTCGCGATGGTGTGTGATAAGTGCCCTCTCCCTTATCTAGTTGTTATTCAAAGAGTTTATGAGAACAGTAGTGAAGTATTCCTAATATTACAAGATCATGGTGTCCTACCAACATCAAGAGGTAAATCTTTTCTTTCGGACATGAGTCCTTAGTGGTTGACCATATGTTTTTCCATTGTATTTTGGTGTTTTTTAAGCGAATCTGACCCTCATTTTTGTCGGAAATTGCTCGCGTTTGCCCCACCCTGACACCCCAACAATAATGGGCGAGAGCCTGAAAAATCGGGGTTTTCGGGTGGGGGAGAACACGAAAATGAGTCCTCTAACCTAACTTATAACTCAACCTGGCATATAAGTTGACCCCCCTTTTCAAGCAAAAAAAAATTGGTCATAGAGGTATACCTACCATATAAGTCGACTCCCCAACTCCAGCAGCTGTCAAGTGTTGTGAAGGACCAAGTCTACCATCAAAACACATACATAAACAGGTAAACAGTCAAACAAGCCACTCTATACATGATGCCACACACAACGTCATTAGTGACTGACCCAACAATCACAACAACACTGAATTTAGTTGACTTCCTGCTCATTCCACCACAGTCCACACACAGCCATCAATAACAAAAGGTGTTTAAAAAAAATAACTGAGAAAAACTTTATTTCATCCATAACAGAAATAGACCAATTATATTAAAGGTAAATATGAAGGTTGTCATACAAAATACTCTCACTTACGGTCATAATTTTAGAGGTCATCATTTTATACCCATCGTGTAAGTCGACCCCCTAACTTTGGACACTAAAAGTTTGGCTTCAAATATCGACTTATACACCGCCATAAACGGTAACTTAACAACTTAACGTAACATAACCTAATGTAATCTTACCTAACCCCGAGCTGGGGGCTCCACCCCTGGACCCCTGGTAGGCGTAGCTTAAACTAAACTAACCTAACCTATCCTAACTGGGGGGCTCCACCCCTGGACCCCCGGTAGGCCTAGCTTAAACTAACCTAACCTATCCTAACAAAATGTATCCTAACTGGGGCTCCGCCCCCCAGACCCCCCGGTAGCATGATCATCTTTCTCATAAAAATCGGCAATAAACTTAAAATAATCATAGGAATACGAATCACACCAACCTTCACCACAGCCATTGTCAGACTGGTGATTGAAATTCAAATCCCTACCTAGGCTGCTCCTTTTGAAAAAATTCAAATGTGATTGGTCGGAAAAAAAAAATCGTGTGATGAGATCGATACATCATTGGTCATGACTGGATGACGTCAGTCAACTTTGCGCATGCGTGATGTAAACACACTCATAATTAACTTGGTTTCACGCAGATAAAGAAAAGTACATAAAATCAATTAAATTCAATTGTGTTGCTATTTTCCATTTCCGAATGGTAAATATGGGGTTCAAAATACTGTACTCAGAATAGGGAGATCTAAATGTTTCAGTAGTTTATAACTTTGGTGTGCGTTATGTCCTAAAGTAAAATAAAACCCGTCAAGACTGTGTCCTACATCTGAAAAATTTTTACTTTTTAAGAAAAGACAATTTTTTTTGTGTGTAACCATAAGTGTACCAGATCGCCCAGCTGTATCCTCCACCACAGTAGCAGGGAAGCTCCAAAAGATGGTTAGGTTAGGTTAGGGTTTTTTTTGTGTGTTTTACGGTGTGTTTTACTTTACCTGACCACCATTTTGGTGGAAATTAGCAGTTTCTGTTGCAAATTAAAATGTAAATTTTTTCTAAAGTTGTTAATTTGTACCAGAAATGAAGGTCAGATTTGTGTAAAACTCACCATAATACACACACACACAAAACCCTCTTATTTTTGTATCAAAACCTGAGGACAGCCAATGGACGAATATTTACCTTATGTTTTTCCAATGGTTTTTGATGTGTTTTGAATGAATCTAACCATCATTTCTATTGCAAATTACTACTTTTTGTGATTTTCCCACACCCAAAACCCCTGGTTCCCACTGGGGTCTCCCATTATTTTTGGATAAGGGAGGGGGGTAGCTCAAAAAGTATTGATTTACGGTAGAAATGAAGGTAAATCATTCAAAACACATCAAAAGCCATCGGAAAAACATAATTTGGTAATTATTTACGACCTCACAGCCACTGATTTTTCATAGAAAACAAATTTAATAATGCAGCAATTTATAGTGGACACTGTCAGAGTGATGGAAAATGTTAAAAAGTGGTTATTTCTAAATTAAACCTAACCTAACCTTAGTTGATAAAAACACTCGACAGAAGCATTGTTAGAAGACCTCACCAACCTAACTGGCATATTGAACAGAAAGAACTTGCTATTAAATGGTGTAATTTGACAGTTTTTGTGAACATGAGAGCAGTCGCCCAATCCATGTGTCTCATAAACATAACAGGGGCGGCTGACGTTGATCGGAGATGATTGGCTATGTACCACCATATCAAGCTGAGAAACACAAAGTGCACGACTAATCACCTAATTATCTACCAAACAAAGCAATTTCCATATAAATGATTATTATATCTGAACTCGCTGATGAAAATACAGTAAAAATATAAACATCAAAACTAATAATGCGTTGGCTGTGAAGTCCTTCATATTAGCCCAAAGTTTCAACTTCCAAATACTGTAGGTGGATGACCGAAATTATAATTTTGTGTTGTTTCAAACGAATTTGACCTTCATTTCCATCACGAATGACCCTTATTATTCAGAAAGTACCTGGTACTTATTTTGATATCTGCTACCAGTCAAGTTTACATTCTTGGAGTGTCATGGTGTAATTTCAAATTTTTTGTGAACGTGGGAGTGTATTAGCCCCTGTCTCATGGCAATAACATTTATATAAATTTGGGTTAATACATTCAGTTTATTTAATCCAATCACCCCACTGTAATTTTCCATAAGCTGTGAGGTGCCATGTGCTGTTCATGTGAGGGGAAATTCCTCTCCCAGTAAGCCGACCTTGAGAATGTAGGGTTAGCCCAACCTCTCCTTCAGAGCTCCAATCCTCACAAGGACCAGTCCTCACTTGAAGCTCACCAGAATCAGACGGGTGACCTAACTCAGCCAAGCTGAGCCCCCGTCCTTAACTAACACTCACAGCTTACAGTGTTAATTATGGTGCATCTACTAATAGACTGTGACCAATATAGTTTTACCAATAAATGGAGAAAAGACCATTTTGGGTTTGTAACTTAACCCCTCAACTTATTTATATATGAGCCAAGTTAAGGGAATTCTACCCAAAGCTTATATATAAAGATGTCAGCGAAAAGATAGAACCATTAACTGAACCAGTGAAGCAGTGTAACTAACTGTGCAAGGAACTAATGTCGCTGTAACCCAAGTAACAGTGAAATTTTCTAAGTGTCATTCTCCAAGGCAACAGACTATATACTGTATACAGTATATT